AGCAGACTCAACTCGACATCTCGGAGGCCAGGTCATGGGTAACTGTTCGTTTCGGGCCGAGCTTTCGGCCCGCCTGGCGGCCATCTCGGCGGGTTTCTTCTCCATGGGAAAATATTGGTACGCTCGGGGGATCGCCTACACCGAGCGACGAGCCGTGTTCCTGGCCAGGGTCGTGGGCCCCGCGTGCTCCGCCTGCGAGGCCTTCCTGCCGACCCCCAGCCAGATCGACCAGCTCACGGCGCGGGTCGTCTTCTTCGGGCGCAAAGCTATGAGGGGGGCCGCGACGTCCTGGGAGGGGGGCCACGCTCGTTCGGTCCCTTCCGAGGCGGTCTTGAGGTATTGGCGGGTCCCTCCTCTCGAGATCGAGTTCCGTGTCAGACGTCTGCGGTGGTACCAGCAGTGGGCTCGAGAGCCCGCGAGACACCTAAGTGAGTGGGCCCCCCTCTTTGGGGACATGCACATCGAGAAAATGCGAGGCCTCCGAACCCTTTCACCCGAGGGCCATCTCACGGAGACGGCGAACCCCTGGGCCATCCAGTACGTCAGGGACTTCGAGGCGCTTCGGAGGACGTCTGTGGACACAGAGGAGGATATGCGGTCCTGGTCAGGAGCCCCTTTGGAGTTTCTCGAGGAGGGGGACTTGCGGGACTGGTTCACGGAGCTGGACCTCTCGGTCGTCAGGGCCGCGTGGCTCTCGGTCAGCATTCCTCCAGCAGGCTCTCCTGGTCCCCATCAAGAGGCACCACCTGAGGTCCCCGCTGGACAAGGTGAGGGCTTTCGCTGCTCCGTCGGGAACTGCGCCAAATGGTTCCTAACGAAGCGTCAGTGGCTTGTTCATGTTCGGGCCGCTCATGGTTACAAAACTCTGTTGGCTGAGGCTGTCCAGGGCGCTTCGTGCTTTGTGTGCTGCAGCAGGTTCCAGTCTCGCAACTCGGCTTACAACCACGTGCTGGACTCGTTCGCTTCGGGCTTCTGCAAGGTTCAGCTCAGTACCACTCTCGAGCTTGCCCCGCCGACTGGCCCATTCTGTTGCCGACTTTGCGAGGCTCAAGTTCTTTCCGAGCCTGCTCTCCACCTCCATGCGCGCATCCATTTCGAGGATCTCCCGCTCGTGCTGGGAGGCGATGGATTTAGACGAGCCCAGCTGGGCGGTCGGGAAACGCAAGGGCCTGGAGACCAGCGACTCCAAGGGGGCCAAGCAGGCTCGACTCCTCGCGGAGCTCGGGCAAGAGGCGCAGGCCAACCAGAAGAACGGCAAGGGAGGGGCGCTGGCGGCGCTCCTGGTCGTCCTCACGAGGCTCGCCCTCACCAACGCGCGCGAGCTGGCCGAGGTGACTGGCGCCTGCTACACCTCGTACATGGTCGGGGCAGAGGTCCCGTTCGTCAAGGTGCTGCAGGAGACGGGCAAGACGTACGCCGAGAACTGCAAGGCCGACGGCAAGGACCACCAGCACGGGCCCCCCTGGCCGCATGTGTTCAAGGCGTTCATCAAGTGGGCCTGCAGCACGGAGGGGGCCAGCACGACTCCAGCGGCAGCGCAGACGGTGTTCCAGGACTACTGGAAGAAGGTCATCCTATCCCCGTCGGCGCTGGAGACGCTGGCGATCCACTGCCGCCACTTCCGACTCAAGGCCTGCTGGTACGACAAGAAGAAGCTCACCAAGCCCGACAGGTTCAAGCTCCAGATCATGTTGGGCATCCCGCAGCAGGCGAACCCTTGGGGAGACGGCACAGCATCGCTGATGGAGGCGGTTCAGCAGACTGTCATGGCGGCAGGCACGGACAAGAAGGACCAGACCGTGCGCTTTCTCCCAGGGGCGCCGCCGAGAGGCGGGCTGGAGCGCGAAGCCTCCAAGCTGCTGGCGCAGCTCGGAATGAAGGACAAACCAGCGGCAGCGCCCGACGGCAAGGACAAGGACGACGACGAGCTGTGAGCCAACCTGCCCGTTTCAGGCTGCAGACTATCAACGGCTCGCGCCGCACCGCGGAGTTGTGCCTCCAGGGCCGCCTCCCAGACGGAACCCTCCTCGCCCTCCAGGCTCGGACCCTCTCCCCGATCCTCGAGTACTCGGATGGGGCCCTGGAGGTTAGACTTTTCTTTAGGACCCCCCCCATTCAGGCCTCCTTCGGCGTTGAGACGCTCCAGAGGCTTTCGGAGGCCTCCCGTCAGCTTCGGCTGGCCGCGAGTTCCTTGGGCGAGGGTCGTCTCTCGGGTTCCCTGCGGACCTCCGACGTTTGGGCCGTGCCGCGCCGCGCCGAGGAGGACTGAAAGGGGTTGTGCTGGGGTCGGTTTAATGCGTCGCCGTCCCTCGGCCCTGGTCAGTGGAGGGAGTGCATAGGCGAGCCCCCTAGGTGTCCCCTTTTTGGGGGTCTCGCTGATATGCCAGTGGAATCCCCCTGCAGGGCCCCACAGAATCTCGGGCCCCCTAAGTGGTTCTCGAACGCCTGATCCGTTTTTTGTTTTCCTTGTGGCCCTGCAGGGTGCGGTCGTACAAGGCGGTTGACTCCATCGGATCATCGGCGCTGCTCTGCTCTCTGCTCCTCCTCCTCCTCCTCCTCCTTCCCCCTCCTCCTCCTCCTCCTCCTCCTCCTCCTCCTCTTCCGCCTCCCCCTTTTCCTCCGCTGGCTTTGTGCTTGTCGGGCCGAGGGCCGAGGTATAAAGATCGAGGTCGGTTCGAGGGCATGCCCAGCGAGGAGGGCCGCGGGGCGCTCAGAGAACCCCACGCCTCCGAGGCGGGGTCCGCCGGCCACGCGCAGAGGGGGGTGGGGGGAGGGGGGAGGGCTTCTTAAACATACCCCTGCTTCTTAGAAGGCGCGGGCCTCATATGTAGATTGAAAGCCGGCGTCTTCTAAGAAGCAGCCTCTTTCTAAAAAGCCCTCCTCCCTCCCTCCACCCCCTTGAGCGCGCCGCCAAGTCCGATCAGATGGGGTCGGATGATCGCGCCGCATCGCTGATGCATCGGCGATGCGGCCCGATGTGGAGCCCGATTTTCTCCACGCCAACGTCGCCGATGCCTTAGCGACGTCGCCAGCGGATCGCCGATGCATCGGCGATGCGTCGACGATGCTGCGCGATCCTCCGACCCCATTTACTCGGACCCCATTTGGGAGCCCTCCTTAAGAGCCCTCATAGTATATACGGCCGGACCGAGGTATAAGATCGAGGTCGGCTCGGGGATGGTACCATAATGTTATTCGTGTTTGTTTCATGTTCTTGTGCGCCCTGGGGGAAGGCACCCTCGACTGTTTTGGCCGGCAGACGGTCTCATATTCTTGGGGGATATTTTTCTGTCCTAGGTCCGGCCGTACCTTTGGGGCACTATTTGCCACCCGCACTGTGACAGACTCCCAGGAGAGCGTCATTTTAACTCGCAGGCAATAGCCGGCGCTGCCGGGGCGAGAGGGGAGGGGGCGGAGGGCCGGCAACGTCGTGCTCCGCGCTTGCGCAGTCAGGGAGTGTCCAGGAATCACCAAAGCCGACTCGGAGGTCATCACAGGTCGTGACGTTACCCTGGGGTGGGGGGCAAGGGGGGCGCCCAGGGCCCTTTCACGGCCGCCATCGCGAAGCAGTCAAGAGCGGCCCTCCACCGATCCAAGCGGACTCCGGAGTGGGCGGTGTGGGCCATCTTGTGGCCACCTCTCCGCTGTGCTCGAAGATTGGCAGCAGGGGCCCCTTTCCAGGGCGGCTGCGCGGGGGCGCGAAGGTGGCCGCGCGTCGTGCATCGCGGGGCGCGCTGCGCGAAGTGAGGAGGAAGGGGGAGGGAGAGGGGTAGATGGAAGGAGGAAGACCTAGAGCCTGGAGGGGGAGGAGGAGGATCGGCGACGAGCGAGGGGGGGAAATGAGAAGGGGCGGGCCTCCTCAGACGGCTCGGGAGTCCCCAAGCCTTCTGAGAAGGTTTCTAAGCCTTCCCCGAAGACAAACAACAACTCTCAGAAGGCGCGAGGTCTTCTGATAAGTCCCGCCGCCTTCTGAGAAGGCCTTCTCCTTCTCAATTCCCCCCCCGCTCGCCTCCAAGAGAAGCAATTGGGGAGGCCAGAAGATCGGAGAAAAGGACCCGGACATGATCGCGTCGTAAAAGATCAGGACGGGAGGTTTTGGCAAGTTTTCGGCCTCGCTGGGCCCCCGCCGGGCTTCGGGACCGTCTAAAAACGACTCCGGATGAAAATCCTGTCCCGGGGAAAGGGTTGGGATTTCCAGGGACGCCGTCCTGAAACAACATGACGTCGCATGCTTGGGGAATCAAAGAGGAAGGAGCGACCTGGACCAGGCTCGACCGCACGTAAGAGTGACCTTCCGCTGGAGTGACTGTTGGTGCGGGCCCAAAGGGGTCCCCCGATCGCCGAACGCGACGCGGCAGCAGCGGCTTGCGCGCCCAGGTCTGGCCACCCCGCGTCCCTCGTTACGCCACGCACCACAGGTCACGTTTGCCCGGGTCACTCATGCGTGTAGCCGACAGGAGGAAGGAGGAAGGAGCGACCTGTCGGACGGGGAGACGACGATGATAAATCCATTCCAGAGCGTCCTGGAACGCTCTGAGGGGGCCGCGGCGCTCGAGACATCCTCGAGAGCCGCGTGCTTCTCGGAGATTCTCGATTTATCCTCACCAGATGTTGTCTTCGTCCTGGCTTCGTCTTTAAAGGAGCGACCTGCACCAGGAGGAGGAGGAGCAGGAGGAGGAGGAGGAGGAGGCGGAGGAGGAGGAGGAGGAAGAGCAGGAGGAAGAGAAGGAGGAGGAGGAGGACGAAGAGGAGTGGGAGGAGGGTGACGAGGAGGAGTGGGAGGAGGGGGGCGAGGAGGAGGAGGAGCAACCTGGACCAGGAGGATGAGGAGGAGGAGGAGGAGGAGGAGGAGGAGACGGAGGAGGAGCGACCTGGACCAGGAGGAGGAGGAGGCGGAGGAGGAGGAGCAGGAGGAGGAGGAGCAGGGAGGAGCAGGGAGGAGCAGGGAGGAGGGGGGAGGAGGAGCACCTTGGTGCCCAGCCCCCGCCCGGGGCGACCAGGCAGCGGGGACGCCGCCGAGTGGCGGCAGCCCATCGGCGGGCCCCTCCCTCGGGGCTGCAGCCAGCAGGAGGAGCGCGCGCCGGCGGCGGGCGATAGGATGACGACAGGGGGGATGCATCGACGGGCGGCGGCGGGCGGCGGGCAGCGGGCGGGGAGTAGGGCCTGTCCCCCATACAGGGGATTTTCGGCGAAAGAAAAATAGTCCCAAAATAGCCTGGGGACTATTTTTTGAATATTTTTTTACCTTCTTGGAGTATTTTTGGGGTATTGTTTAATTTTCTGCTCAAAATCCTTCTGTAGGGGGACACGCCCGACATAAGTGTAGGCATAGGGGGGATGCATCGACCCCCAATCGCTCCTTGATCGCCGATAGGGGGCTGATAGCCCCACCCCTCACAGGAACGAGGGGATTCGCTGTTGGGGGCCTATCGCCGATCTATTGGCGATGCATCGCCGATTCCAGGTCGATGTTACCCCCCCCTGTGCATATCCCCCCCGATCGTTGCCCCTCAGGCGGGGGAGGGGGTCACCGAGCGCGTTCCACTACTCGCAAAAAGCGCCTACAGTCGGACCGAGGTATAAGCTCGAGGTCTGTTCAAGCCATTTTGTCTCAAGTCATCTTTGGCCCATACGTCCACTTGGACAAGGCAGTCTGCGCTACACAACATGACCCCCACCCCTCGAGGCCCCGCAGTGATGGCGCGCCTCGCTGGCGTCAGTCTCCCAGCCGTCGGCGAGCAGCTCCCGCGATCAGGGCCTGCGCTGGCGTGGGCAGAGGCGGCCAGCGCGGCGCCCACACCGAGGCAGCCCTCGACTCCCAGGATGGCCCGCGGGCGCCATGGCGCGGGCAAGTGGCTTCAGCAACCCGATCATCCAGGCAGGCTGGCCGGCGGCCACCAGGGTGCTGTGCCCGGCTCCGGTGCCCCGTCTCTGGGCAGGATCCGCCGGCCTCCAGGGCTCCGACTTCCTGCCTCGTCTCTCAACGACCTCCCCGAGATACAGCAGAAGCTCTTCGCGGTGCTCCCGGAGCCTCGCCCAGGCAGCAGCACAACGACCCAGCGCGTGGCCGACGCTTGCACGGTTCCCCTGCTGCCAAGAGTGGAGCCGGGCAGCAGCGAGGCCATGAGCGACCAGTCGAGCGACACTGAGTCGACCTCCGACCTCTCCACGGAGTCCCCGGAGCCTTCCCAGGCGGGCACCTGGCGCCACCGGGCCCGCGCAATCGACAGCGAGGTGGAGCGGCCCCCTGCCGTGTTGGGACGCGTCCGTTTCGCCAGCGAGCCCTGCCGTTCAGAGGAGGGGCGCAAGCCCAGCTTCCCTCTGCGGCCGCAGGAGGACCCGCCGCTGGCCGCCCGCCCTCGTCGACGACCGCCGGCCCGGCCGACCTCGGCGGCGACGAGGGCCGTCCTGCCCGGCCAGAGGGGCCGCCCCCTCGGCTGCAGGCCGCCCGAGCCCGACGACATGCAGAGAGTTGGCGCTCTCGGCTGTTGGCTGATTGCGCCCCCTTCTCTTCAGGGGCAACGATCCTGTTTCAGGAGCCTGTGACCTGCAAGTCTGCGCAAGTTCGGAGACGCACAAACACGTGCTCTTCACCGCTCGGCACTCAGAGTAGAAGGATGTGCCCATGGAGCAGGCCTTCAGGGTACGCACCCAGAGTAGGCACGCAGAGCACGCCAAAGCACGCCCCACTGTCCCGAGGGAGCCTGACCACCTCGTTCCAGTGCGGCTTTGGCTATTGGAGGCCGCTTCATATGCTTCGCAACAGTTTTTGTTTGGGGCGGGGTGGGGGTCCTCCGCCCTCCCTCCGTAGCTGCAGCGGCAGGAGCCTTACCCACGGCACGGTATCGTGAGTGTGGGGCATTGTCTTGCTTAATTGACGGTGGAAAGTTCCACGATACTTGTTTCAAGCGGCATTGATCGCAATCGAATGGTTTGCACAAATTGATTGTGCATCAGATATTTGGCAAGCTTGGACCTGAATGACCACCACGGCCAAGGCTGCGGTCAGGCGGCCCAGGCATTTACAAAGCACGCGTGCAGATGCTTTCAAGAGCCTCGGCAGCGGGGGCTGCCGAAAAGAGGCCCTTTAGGGCCTTAAAGGGGGCCTTTAGGGCCCGAAGGGCACTTTTCTCTCCCTCCATTTATCACCCCCCCCGTGAACCCCCGTACAACTGCAGGATCCTGCAGGATCTTGCAGGATCCTTCAAAGCCCACCGACTCTGGCCAACCCTGGTCCGGGTGATTTTCCAACAACGCATAATAAGAATGGCAGGCGAACCCTTCACACACGCTTCCCAGCTTGGCTGTCAGGAGCGGCCGAAGATGGCAAGGCGCAGTCCTTCCCTGCCGAGGCTGCGCTGGCGGCCCCAGAGGGATCGTCGGCCTTGGCCTTACCAAGAGTGCGACAGGAAGCGGTTCCCCTGGTGCCTACACCGCACTCATATCTATACCCCTGGGTGGGTGTATGTGCGGCCGTTTTTGCGCTGTCATGTGCGCGCATGTGCGCGGCATGTGCCAGTCATGTGCCAGGCCTGTGCGGCCCTTCTCGGATGGACTTCCTCCTGTGCACGTCGTGCCCGGGCATGTGCGGGGGCATGTGCGCTGTGTCTTGATGTATCCATCATACGCACATGCACGCACAGTCCGACGCACATGCGCGCACATGCCTGCACATGCGGGAGGTGTTTGAGAATCGCAGATCTGTCATCGGCACATGCACGCACATGCCTGTGCAACCTCTCTTCGGGAGGCCGCGCGGGCCCGCACATGCACGCACATGCGGTGAAGCGCGCGGGCGCACATGCGTGCACATCCCACTGCACATGCACGCTCATGCCCTAGGAGCTGTCTGGGACCCCTGTGCCTCCAATGCCTCCTGGCCTTCGCAGAGCTAACCTGGGGCGTGCCAGGGCTTCCTGAAAGAGTTTGTTGTGCGTTTAGACTCGCCCGCTGCTGGCGGGGGCGGTTCTTCGCCCGGTTCGTGAGCTGGCGGTGGCGTGCCCTCCTAGTAAAACACTCTCCCGCGCGCCTTCTCAGCTCGGCCGGAGAAGCAGGGGGGGGGGGGGGAGGTGGAGGGGGGGGAAGGAGGGGGGGGCGGAGGAGGCGGACGCCCCCGGCTCGGCCGGCCCGCCCGCCTGTTCGGCTCGGCCAGAGGAGAGGAGGAGGAGGAGGAGGAGGAGGAGGAGGAGGAGGAGGAGGAGGAGGTGAGAGTTGCGAGGATGTCTCAGGCGAAAGTGGCTTGACGGCCCGAGCTCAGGGAATCTCGGAATCGCTGGCCTGGCTCGGCCACTGGCGAGCTCGGCCTGTGCGAATACTGTGCGTACCTGTGCGGGGCATGTGCGGGACGTGCAACAATGCCGGGGCCGGCGTTCGTCTCCAGGCGCCGGCGCGTTCGCGTCTGGCCGGTTCCGCGTGAGACGTCGTCGGCGATCTGGAGGCCGACATGCTTTGACATGAGGTGATCTGGCCACCTTCGCCTGAGACATCCTCGCAACTCTGGTCTCGGAGATGCCCTGCCCCATGGCGGCCCAGCCACATTCGCATGAGACATCCTCGCAACTCTGGGTTTCGAGACGCCCTGAGCTGAGGTGGTCAGACCACTCTCGCCAGAGACATCCTCGCAACTCTGACCTCAGAGATCTCCTGCCCCATGCTGGTCAGTCCACTGTCGCCTGAGACATCCTCGCAAGTCTCGATTCCGATATGCCCCGAGCTGAGGTGGTCAGCCACTGTCGCCTGAGACATCCTCGCAACCCTGATCTCAATGATGCCCTGCTCGATAGTGTCTCGGCCCCTTTCGCTTGAGACATCCTCGGAACTCTGGGTTCCGAGACGCCCTGAGCTGAGGTGGTTCGACCACTTTCGCTTTAGACATCCTCGCCCGAGATGCCCTGAGTTGAGGTGTTCAGACCACTTTCGCCTGAGACATCCTCGCAAGTCTGACCTCAATGATGCCCTGCTCCATACTGTCTTGGCCTTTTTCGCCTGAGACCCTCGCAACTCTGGGTTCCGAGATGCCCTGAGCAGGAGGTCGGGCCACTCCTGCCTGAGACATCCTCGCAACTCTGGGTTCCGAGACGCCCTGGGCTGAGGTGGTCAGACCACTCTCGCCAGAGACATCCTCGCAACTCTGACCTCAGAGATCTCTTGCCCCATGGTGGTCAGGCCACTTTCGCCTGAGACATCCTCATAACTCAGACCTCGGAGGTGTCCTGCCCCATGGTCGTCTGGTCACGTTGACCAGCGACATCCTCGCCACTCTGGTTTCCAAGATGCCCTGCCCCATGGTGGTCCGGCAACGCTTGCCTGAGACATCCTCGCAACTCTGGGTTGCGAAATGCCCCGAGCTCAGATGGTCAGGCCACTATCGCCTGCGACATCTCTTTGGCATGTGCGGGCATGTGCGTCTATGCTTTCAGAGTTTTGCTTGACCGTGCATTCGACTGTGCGTCGGACGGTGTGGCATGTGCGCGCATGTGCGGCAATGCTGTTGAGGCTTTTGTACATGTGCATGGGCATGTGCATGCGACTGTGCGGCATGTGCCTGCATGTGCGGCCCCTTCCGGACCACAATTTCAAAGTGAGCACTATAGAAGTGAGCGCTATAGAAGTGAGTCCGGTGTAAGGGCAACGACGTATTGTCCTCCTCTCAGCCTCGCCGAAGGCGCGGCCGCAAGCGGCTCCCAAAGTCCCTGAGTGTAACGACATGTTTAGCGGCGGCGAGTGACCCCCCAGCGAAGAGGCTCCCCCCCGCGGCTCGAGCGCGCAGAGGACCGCCCTTGCGGCGGCGGCGGGCGTCCGAGAGCAGCGGCCCCACGGCGGCGTTGGCGGCGGCGGCGGCGGCGGCGGCGGCGACGACGACGACGACGACGACGACGACGGCCACGACGACAACGACGACAACGACGGCCACGACGACGACGACGACGACGACGACGACGTCGAAGACGACGACGTCGACGACGCGGAGGCCCTCTCGCCGTCTCCCCGGCGGCGGCCCTCCGGCGCAGCCCCCCCCGCAGTGGGGGGGCCCCCGGCCCGAGCGCGCCGAGGACCGCCCTGGCGGCGCCGGCCCCCCGCCGCCGCCGGGGAGGGCCGCCGCGCCGCCGCCGGAGGCGCCGCCGCACGCTGGCGGCGACCCCTTCCACAGGACGGGGCTCGGGGGGGATCTCGGGGGCGGCGATATACACAGGGTTCCCAGACTCCCTCGCGTCTGGAAAAATCACGGCGGGAGGTTTTTCGCTATGTTCGGCCTCCAGGGGCCCTGACCGGGCCTCGGGGCAAAGGAAGACTCAGGTTGAAAAATCGTTCCCGGGGAAGAGGTCCAGACCTCTGGGGTTCGACGTTGTGAACAAAATCGCGACGTTGGGAACGAATAGTTCGCACGATTGTTTGAGAGAGTAGTTCGCACAGCTGGTACGCGGTGCGAATTGCCTCGCACCTAACTGCAGGCCTGAAAGCTCGCCTTTTCCAGGCGTTGCAGAAGGGTTCCAGTTCCGTTTCTGCCGGCTACTCTTTGGCACGCGCGTGCCCATAGTTGTCTCGTAAAGAAGGGGTCCAACCCCCAGCGTACTAACTCTAGGCCTCTTGGATGGGGTCGGAGTAGATGGGGTCGGAGGATCGCGCCGTATCGTCGATGCATCGGCGATGCGGCTCGAATGTGGAGCCCGATTTTTGCCACGCTGGCGTCGCTGATGCATCGACGACGTCGCCGATGCATCGCCGATCCATCGGCGATGTATCGGCGATGTATCGACGATGCGGCGCGATCCTCCGACCAATTCAGCCCCAGCTAGGAGGCCTCTGCTGACTGCCAGCTCGTGCTCGCGCGCTCCGCGCGGCGCACGCCACACGCCACACTCTGAATTGCGAACTTCCGGCGGGCGTCCCACGCTCGGGGTCGGGGTCCTGGCTCCCAGCGCGGCGCACACGCCGCGCCCGCGGGCCTGAAGGCTGAAGACGATCAAGACTTCTTCGTTCAAAGAAGAGTAGTAAGAAGACTCATCAGAAGAAGAAACAACGCCATACACATAAACTGTTAGCGCTCCGAGCGGATTTTTTGGATCTGCGCTGGACCCTCCTCCCTGGCGCGCGGAGCCCTCCAGGGGCTGCGCCAGAGGCGTCGCCGGGGAGGGCCCAGCGCGGATCCAAGAAATCTGCGCGAATCACCCAAAGTTCATGTTTCTGTTATGATGTTCCAACCTAGTTTAGCCTTGATCACAAGAAAGAATTTCGAGCACCAAGAAAGTATACCGAAATTGGAGAGTTTTCTCTTGTCGGGCCCTGGGAGGCGATAATCGTTCGACACTGTTTCGATACTTTACTGGCTGCTCGAAATTTTTTTTTGGGGATTGGCCCTTAAGTACGATGGAAGCAACATAATGTTTATGGCGTTTTTCCTCTTTACTCCCTTCCCTTCAGCCCCCCCCACCTGGAGGGAAGGGCGAGGGTGCTGGCCCTCCTCGCCCCACCAGGCCGTCTTCCGCCCCCCCCTGGGTCTGAGCATGCTGGGTGCTCTAGCTTCAAATCGGGCACGTCTCTCTCCAGGATGAGTATTCAAAAATAGTCTGGGGACGACTTGCTATGATTTTTGTTTAACCATGTTTTCATACTTGTGACACTATGGATTATGTTCACCTAACATCCGCTTGTAGAAGGACAAGCCCGTCCTAAGGCTAGCTACAGTCAACCATGATAGTAAGCAAGGGACAACTTTCCAAGGCTACCCTTGCATCCTTGCCCCTTGGGTTTTCGGCATCCTTCGGCATTATGCTGCGCTCCGCACGGAAAACGTCAACATGGCGTTCCAAGGCCATTGCATCCTTACCGCGCATCGTTACTATCCTGGTCGAGTGTACGCTGTCCACCCCCCTCCCCCCCTCCTTTGGCTAGCGTTCGACTCCACCCCGAGCGAAGAAACGGTCAGGATCCCTCGTACATCGCGCTGCGTCCGCCTGCTAAAGTACACGGGATTCACGCGCCCTGGGCCACGATCCCAAACCATTGATATTGAGCAACTCGAAATGTGACGTTTCAAATGCGTGTACGGTTTGGGAGCATCGTTTATAAGGCGAAACGTCTGAGCTTTTCTGGCGCGTTGTTGCAATTTTCCTTCCGCGCCCCACAGGAGCATAAAACCTAGTATATTACATGTGTCCGCCCCCAGGGCCAGGATCCTTGACAAAATCACATACGAAGACACATCTTTCACTGCGCCAGAAAAGCTCAGACGTCTCCACTATATATATATATATATATATATATATATATATAGGTTCTCAAATCGTACCCGCATTTGACACGTCAAATTTCGAGTTGTAAATTCAAACAGAGGCCCGTGAACGGCGTCGTGGTCCGAACAGGATGTTGCCGCCAGCTTCCAACAGGATTCTCGCAGATAGCACCGGCGGGACCGTCATAATGCTAACTATCCGCTCCCGACTACATATCTAATGGCCTTTCCCTCCCCTCCCCCTCCGTCTCATAGTCCTCCCTCCTCCGCCTCCTCCTTTTCCTCCTCCTCCTATTCCCCGCCCTCCTCCTCCTCCAAGTCTTCCCTCCTCCTCTTTCTTGATGAGGAGACCTCTCGGGAGCTTCGTGGATTCTTGGGCCATTCTTGAGGCCTTCTGGGAGTTTTCGCGGGGCCTCCTTACGGCCTTCTGGGGGCCTTTCGGGGCTTCTTTGGGGGCCTCTTTGACCGTCTTAGGGCGTTCCTGGCCTGTCTGTCGCTCTCGGGAGCCGTTTTGGTGACCTCTCTGGACCGTCTTGTGGCCCCCTTGGGGCGCTTCAAGGCCGTCTTGGAAGCCATATTTGGGGTCTGCGAGGCCTCATGGGCCGTCTTGGGGCAGTTACGAGGTCGTCTTGGATGCTTCTTGGGCGATCTTGAGGAGCTCTTGGGCCGTCTTGGGCCGGCGGAAGGCCGAAAAGAAGCAAATGCCCAAATCGTCAACAACCTAACGGATTTGGGCCTTTTCGGTCTTCCCTGGAGGGCCTCGTGGGGGCCTTATGGGCCGTCTTGGAAGCCTACTTGGCACTTCTTGGGCCGTCTTGGGCTCTCTTGGACCATCTTGGGCGGTTTTGGAGGCACCTTGGGACCGTCTCGGAGGCCATCTTGGGGCTATCTTGGGCTCTCTTGGGGCCATCTTGGCCGTCTTGGAGGCATCTTGGAGGCCATCTTGGGCCATCGTGGCCGTCTTGGAGGCGACTCTCCCCACGAAGGATGAATTTTCGGCGGCTTTCCGGGTGGCCAGCGCGCGACTCCGGAAAGTTTAGCATATGGCCTTCGGTCCATCCCGCCACCGTGCTTGGGTTGCGGGTATGGAGCTTGTTGGATGTTCGTTGGGATTTCGTGGGAGGCCTCTTTGAGGAAGTTTGGAGGCCTCTTGAGGCGCCGCCGCACGCCGGCGGCGACACCTTGCACAGGAGGGGGCTCGGGGGGATCTCGGGGGCCGCGATACATAGGGCTCCCAGACTCCCCGGCGTTTTGAAAAATCACGACGGGAGGTTTTTTCGCAATGTTCAGCCTCCAGGGGCCCTGACCGGGCCTCGCAGCCGTCAAAGAACGACTCAGGATGAAAAACCAGCCCCGGGGAATGGGTCCAGACCTCTGGGGGGTCGACGCTGTGGGAAAATCACGACGTCGGGGGCCTGAGTTCGGCTTCGAGGTCCGAGCTTTTTTCTCGGGCGGTCCTCGGCGGTGCTCTCCCGCCTCGGGGTGCTCTCCAGCAGCTGCGCCTCGCCGAGAGGCGCCCAGGAGCGCCTGGATCGTCCCGAGTTGCCGCCCGAAAAGGAGACGACGGGCATCCCTGGAGGGGGATGTGCTCAGGGAGGGGGGACCGCATCCACCCCCGATCGCCCAGTCATCGCCGACCAGGGGTCCGTCAGCCCACCCCGCCCGGGAACGTGCCTATTTGCTATCGGCGACCCCTGCCACAGGAGGGAGCCGGGAAGGATCGGGGGCGACGATGGAGACGGCCATTATGGCACGTATTCGCTGGGGAGCCTTGGACCTTGCTCCCCCTTGGGGATTTTCGCCCCCATCGGTCCCTGCAGGGAGGGGCAGCCTCCTCCTCGATCCTCGAATGACCTCCTCGATCCTCGCGCCTCCTCCTGCTCGTCGGTCCTCGAATCGGTCCCTCCTCGGTTCGAGCCTCGCCCTCCTTGGCGGGGCGGAGGGGGCCATGATGTGCCTTGAATAGGGGAACGAACAATGACATAGACATAATACATAATATGATACCGGAAAGAAGCCCCAGTCATCATGTGTTTTTGAAGTACTATGCGGGCCGAACTTCCGTACAATGGCCGAAGGTCCGTCCAAACGGCGTTGTCGCCTCGGCGCGGACAGCACACCGCCAGCGTCACCTGCACGTCGTGGCCAGTTTAAGAGCGATTCGAGAGGATGTCTCAGCAGGAACCAGCGTTTTTTGTTCAGATGGGGGGCTGGAACGACGTGGACGAATCAAACGCACTGTTGACGAAAGTCAGAAATCGAAGCGATGTGCCAGCAGATTGGGCCAGTTTGATTGCCGCCAGTTTCCGTCGAACGCGGGCGGAGCAAGGGTCCGACGGTCATCATGGATCATTGTGCAGGTAGTTGCACGTCTCGTGGAGGATGTTGCGGAGTTTATTCCCATCTTCTACATCGTGAACTCTTGTTATCCGTGTCGCGCCTCCGTCTAGTCACTCTCTAATCATCCCTCCTTCTCCATCTCACGATGAGAATTATCGCGATGCAGCAGGCACAGCATTTGGGCAACACAAGGGGGTGCCGCCAGAGGATAGGTCACTTACCGGTTCGTGCCCAGGTTGTGGGGATGTCTCCAGTGGTTCGCTTGTTTTACAGATGTAGGCGCGTCTTTTTCGGGGTCGCGTGGTGTTCGCGATGTCGCAACCATAGCTCTTGGGCGCCACCAGGGGGAGCGACCACGGGGTAGGACACTTGCCCGTTGGCGCCCAGCATTCGGGGATATCTCACGCGATGCGCTGTCTTTTTGAGGTGGGCGTGTTTTTTTTCAGGGCCGCCACGAAGAAAACGAATACTTGGGTACCCCAGAGAGGGAGGGAGGGCGCCAGAGGGTCGGACACTTGCCCGTTGGCGCCCAGATTGTGGGGACGTCCCCTGCGAACAGGTGGCTTTCGGAAGTTGAA